TGACAGGTTGTAATGCAAGTGAGAAATGTTCAGGATACAATTGTTCATCAGGACATATTACAAAGTTCTTTCACAAATACATGTAACAAGTACTTTGATAAAAAAGAAATGTTAGATGATTTCTAGAATCTAGATATGAAAATAATATATCTGGCATGGGGTGTCTCCAGGCAGCATCTCACCCTCCAGACTTTCAACATAGCTTGGGATAAATTTGAGAACATCTTTGCAATATATACACATACATATAAGAAACCCTGGTAGTGCAGTGGGCTAAATGCATGGGACTGCTAACTGTGAGGTAAGTGGTTCATATCCACCAATTGTATCGTGTATTCACATAATCACCAATACATTGATAAATGTGTTCTGTTAAGAGATCATGAACATATTATTTCTCTATTTTATAATATTGTGTCCTGCAAATTTCAAGGTAGACAAGTCTTTGCCGGGGCAGTGAATTATTTAATTATTAATTATTTAAGGTGGCTCTTCTAGGCCAAGTTTCTTAACTCCCACCAACTGACCTTTTCCTGTATGGGTTTGGTAAGAAGCTGGGGAAAGATACTTAGAGGATCCACCTGTAATTGTGAACAGGATCCCGTGGAACTCCATCCTTCTGTGTATAAAATAAGCCCTCTGAGAAGCAGGAGGTGGGGGGGGCTCTCATCACCAAGAAGAGGCAGGACTTGATGGAATGTGTCCTCTGGAAGTGAGATCCTGTGCAGTGAACCTCCTGGATCCTGTAACATCATAGCAGCAATAACAACAAACCCATGGAACTAAGCAATCTGAGTGGTTGGGGGCAGGAGGCTGGCTTGTGCAGTGGGAGTGGGGTGCCTTTGGGCACTTAATTGGGGAAGCTGAACTTGCTGACCTACAGAGATGGAGCTGAGAGCCTTCAGGCCAAGGCTTCAGGCCAAGATGCCTCTGGGCACTTAATTCAGGGAACTGGGTTTGCTTGGTTGGCTCCAGGAGTTTGAGCTGAATGTCTTCAGCTTGAGGCTTCCAGCAGAATGGTGTGCCTCCTTGGGAATTTATTACAGACCTGAAAGAACTTTGTAACATGTCCTGATCAATAACTAATCTGAGAATTTCTCACTAGCATTACTTGTTTTAACTTCCTTAATAAACCCTTTAATCATGAATTTTTTTGAATTCTGTGTAGCCATTGCAGTGGATATTAGAGCCCAGAGAAGTAAAATAGAGATTAAGACAGTCTCTACTATTGCCTGTGTTGTTTGGAATGGCTGTCCCAACACAGAGCCCTCCTGTAGAGGAATCGGTCTGCCCTTTAGCCCAGGTTTATTGAGATAGAATTTATTCATGTAGCATAAAAGCCACTTTAAAAAAAAAACAAACTCATTTTATGCTTTTTCCTGTTTGAAGCTACTATTATGGATGTCCAATTACACAAATGACAAAAAATAAAAGACTACTACACCCAGAGTGAGGGGCAGGGTAGACAAACTAGAAGTGGGAGGGGTTGGTGAGGGCAGTGAGGTGGAATGGGCTCCAGGGACCCCAGAATTCCAGAAGGGTCCACAAGTCATATATGTGGGGCACTGGTCTCACAGGTGGTAGGGAAAGGCCACCCTTTTATTTAAGTGTGCAAGTCAGTGGATTTTAGTTGAATCAGAATTGTGCAAACACTAGTAATTCCACGTTTTTATCACTGCAAAAAGAAGCCTTGTGCCCATTCTCCCTTCCCCTGGCTCCTGGCAACTTTGTCTCTATTGATTTGCTTATTTATAATTCATATAAAATTATACCATGTGACCTTTTGTGCCTCCTCTCAAAGATCATGTTTTTAAGACATTCATTTGTGGCATGGGGGATGAAGAACATACCGTTGTATGGACAGGTCACATTGTGTTGATCCATCACCAGCTGATGGGCATTTGTTTCCACTGTTAAGTGCTTCCTGTTATCCAGACCTGCCATGCTGCAGAGTAGCCGTATGCAGGCTGTTGAAAATCGGAAAGCGTCCTCCACGTAACAGGTGCTCAGGATTCTGGTTATGCTTATGCTGGGATGAAATTCCCATGTGCTTTATATTCTCCCCCACCCCCACCCCCGAATGATAATGGTACCTTTGGATCTGATTGGGTTGTGGGGATGTCTATACAGTAAAAATGTTCCTTCATTTAATTATTCTTTTTAAAGGTTTGAATAGTTTATTGGAGGGTGATACTTTGGAAATAAGTCCAAAGGACCCTAAAAGGCCCCCATTTCCTCAAGTAGGCTGTACCCACTGCTGATCATATGTCCAATCCAAGGCTTTCAAGTGACCTTTTTCTAACTCTGAAATGGAAGCACTTAGATCTGTAATTCAATCACTTCTGTCTGGGTGGCGAACGAGCTCGCCACAATGAAGATGATGTTGCTGGAGAGTTGGAGCCATTATCAAGTTTTTCCTGGGAGTCAGCAGTCTAATAGACTTTGAGCCCTTCGACCACAGCATCCGCCAATTACTGATGCTTACCTTTAATTTGCCCGCGAACAAGCAGATCCTAAGGAATTCATTTCCTTAGAATGGCTGGCTCACATAATTTATAAATTATAAAGGGTTCATGAGGGAGTGGGGAGCGGGGAGGAAGGGGAAAAAAAATGAGCAGCTGATGCCAGGGGCTTAGGTGGAGAGCAAATGTTTTGAGAATGATGAGGCCAATGAATGTACAAATGTGCTTGACACAATTGATGTATGTGTGGATTGTGATGAGTTGTGTGAGCCCGATAAAATGATTAAAAAAAAAAGAATGGCTGGCTTACATCGTTTGTACGTATAGATCACAAGGGCAACCAATTCCAGTAGTGCCTTCTTCACTTTTCTCTTAGGGCTTTCATTAAAGATGGTTTAAGACAGTGGTTCTCAACTTTCCTGTCATGCCCCTTTAATACAGTTCCTCATGTTGTGGTGACCCCCAACCATAAAATTATTCTCCTTGCTACTTCATAACTGTAATTTGGCTTGTTATGAATCATCATGTCAATATGTGATATGCAGGATGTATTTTGTTACAAATTGAACATAACTAAAGCATAGTGATTCATCACAATATGTAATTGTATAATGTGAAATATTTCTGACAAATACATGAAATTCTGTCTTGAAGCATGGTGTAGCATGGGTAGCAGTGTTTACCCCCGCCTGGAGACAAATAGAGGAGCGGTGTCTTAGTGAACCTGTGAAAGGGTCGCGACCCACAGGTTGAGAACCACTCATCTAAGAGGCGCCCTGGCGGCATAGTGGTTGCACATGCAGTCAAAACCACCTGCCGCTCTCCAAGAGAAACGAGGCTTTCTACTTCCATAGAAAGTTAGCCTTGGAAACCCAAAGGGTTGCTATAATTTAGCATTGACTCGATGGCAATGAGTTTAGTTTTTGTTTTAAGGGCTTCCAAAGTGAGCTGGTGGTAGGCTGGGAAAGAGGGTGTCACTTGCTGGTCATGAGGGTACCAGGTGTTGATACTACCCTTCTGAGGGGGTCAAGTGGCAGAACACAAATGAGAAGGTTCAATGTGTTTACTTTTTAAGATGGATTATTTTCATCTTAAAAGGAATACATTTCCGCCCCCCCCCCCCCCCAAGCTCTTGAAATGCTTATCATGCCTGTCACGTGCTGGATCGTTTCAGTGTCAATGAGCAAAAGTAAAAATGTCCCTTACCTTATGTTCCTGTGGTACAATATGACACAGTGATAAGATGAACATGTTTTGCACTTTGCAGAAGCAGGCCGACTCATCCTTATTTCAGGATTTAGCGGTGCCTAGCTCAGACAGATGCGCATCACTATCTGCTAGTCTCTGCTGTTGAGACCTACGTCAGCTTGTCCCATTACCTGAGAGGTTTCTATTCACCTTGGCCTTCACAGAAAGTAGCCTAGCCTCTGCTGCTTGGCCCAGGCTTTTCTAGCCAGTCAGTGGCACATTTCTCCTTCCTAGCCCCTTGGTTCTGATTTTTGTTCCAGAAAGGTGATCAATATGCCACTGTATCATTTCTAATGGGAGGCGAGGGGGTGACAGCAAAGGACTATGGGACCCATTTGAATCATAGATTATGAACAAAAGCTGAACCCTCCCTTAACTTGGTGCAGGTTTACTGTGTCTGTATCAAACGTCGTCCTAGAATGTTTACCTCCCTTGATCCTCGGAGTAACCTAAGGGATACAGTTTAATTTTCATTTTACTGATGGGTAACTGAAAGTCCGTGAGATGAAGTAACTTGCTCTACAGCTAGTTAAGTCTGGGAGTCAGAGTATGTATGTACTCAAGCATGTCCAAACCAGTGAGGACATGACATATAGCCCAGAACACACAAAATGTCCATGCATGGGCACTAGATTTAGTAGATTCTATTCTTCTCCTTCAGAAATTGTGTCTCAGATGAAGCAATGTATTTTTCGTTGTTTGCACAGATTAAAATAAACTTCATGATTCTGGGGCATGAGACCACTCCAGAGCATAGGACTACAAGTAATTCTTCATTTGTGGTATTATGATAACCCCCATTTGCAACCATCTGTTGTTTTTTTTAACATCCTCAAATTACTAAATAGAAGATTTTCAACGGGGATGAAACAGGCTTGTTTGGGGAAAAGCATGGCAGAAGGGATCTATGTTCACAGAGATGAAGTTGATGCCTGGTTTCAAGGCAGTCAGAGTCTCACTGTATTCAGTTTACCTCAGAACTGACTTATAATGGAGCCACCGGAACGGAACCCATCCTAAATTGAGGGTTACCTGTAGCTGCTTGTCTAATATACTCACAGTGCATGTGGCTCAGAGGGTGGGGGCAAGAGGGCATACATTTAATCATTAAAACAAACTCAAAATTTAGGTCAGCCTGCTTATAAAATTCATATAAATTCCCCTAGATAATTATTTTTACTTAACAAGAATCTCCCCAATAGCTCTGATAACTGTAATTTAAAGGAGAACTATGTAGACACAGAATTTACCAATTGTATTTTGGTCACTGTCCAAAAAAGTATACCTACGGAACATGAAAATTCTTTATTCAACCTAATCCAGCCAGTATGGAGATAGTCTGTTATATGAAAAACAAGACATTAAAAAAAAGTTACAGTACAGTTAGCAAAGCAGTGACTAATTAAGTCACTAAGTTTAATTTTATATTCTTGCCACAGTCGTGATAATCATATAATGATGAACAATATTTTCAGCCACTTTGGAGATAATTTCTGCGAAGAATGGAATTCTACTGGTTATCAGTGAATTATGTAAATGAAGTTTAAAACATTAGTTTCCAAAAGAACACAGTAAAAGCAACATGAAAGTCAGCTGGGAAACACAGCGCACCTCGCCAGTCTCAAGCTCTAACTCCCTTTAACTTGTCCCTAAGATGTCTCTTGAACATGGTTACTCCCTATTCTTAAGAGTGGGAACATGATTTTAAGAGACTATTTACCAATTAAGAAACTACTAATGCTATGTAGGGACTACCGTATATACGCGTGTATAAGCCGAGTTTCCCAGCACATTTTTAATGCAGTTTTTGTGGTAAAATTAGGTGCCGCGGCTGAGATTCGGGGTGGCTTATACTTGAGTACATACAGTATATTTCACAGTGTCTGTTTCTTTTAATTTCACAGTTGATGATATTATTTGCTGTAAGTGCTCCTTCCATTTCCAAGATGAAGGAAAACGTAACTGAGAGAAAGTCACTTGGCCAAGGTACAGAGCCATTAAAGCAGAGTTAGGATTTAACCTTCGGTCCACCCAACTTTCAGTCAGCCCCCACACGCTCTTGTTGCTGGATGGTGGTGCAGGGCAACTCCTGGAGACTGGCACCTGGTCCTTCTGGCGCTAAGGCTCTTGAGATGGAAGTTCCATATAGTCAGAGACCACTCTGTTCACTAGGCACCTGCAGCTCCCTCCTCACAGCCCTGGAAAAGCCCCCCCCCCAAAGGATGAGTTATTCCCGTCTTTCATGAGCTCTGCTGCCAATAAGTCCAAGCCGCTACCTGACCTTGCGCAGTACAATTTTAAGTGGGGAACTGTGTGCTCTTGTTAATTTTAGTAAAGGCAGCCTCAAAGCTGTTGCATACAACAATAAAACTATGCAGGAAGTTTCTATTTATTGTCTTTTCATACTAAAAATGAAAAGGGGATATCTCTTACAATTAAAGTTATATAATCTGAGCTATTTTTATATATCACCATAGATACATTTCCCTTTCAGAAGTATAGCAGTGTTCTTAATAAGGCTCACTGTCAGTTAAATCTTTCCTCCTTCCCAAATAATTACAATTTTGAATTTAACACTTATTCATATAAACTACATATAACTCAAAATTAAGATATTCATACTCTAGATTGGTACTGGTCTTTAATTAGTAAAATTAACACACATGATTTCAATCTAACAGATCTCAATCTATATTTGCTCTGTTCTTAAACAGAAGTGGCCACTTATCAGTAAGGGGAGATACTTATTTGTCATGCATTAGGATCCTATGAACAAGAAAATAAATAAGGTTTTCGGATCTTTAAAAAATTTAATTTTAATTCATGAAAATAACTTCAAGACCATTCCGATTGCTAAACAGAAAATGGCCACTCTATTGAAAATGGTTTAAAATAAATACTTGCTTTTGAAAAATGAATACAAAACTAATTAGACAGTGATCAAGATGCTAGCCTTATCAATATGACAAGCAGTTAAAACTAGGAAATATTAAGATTGGTTTCCTATGATCAATGGGTTAAGCCCAAAACAATGACCTCAATATTTACTCAGGAAATCTTGTTTCCAGAGTTATATCCTGATATGAACACAAAATGTTCAAGGCCTCACTCTGGTGCACTCACGGCTGGATTTCTAGCCACTGAAACTACACAGTAAACTCTAAAAGAGCAGAGGCCACATCGGTCTCCTTGACCCTTGCACCCCACTGCACTTAGCACAGTGCTCAGGCAAATGGGAGGTGCTCAGCAAATATTTGAATAACTCAATCAATGAGAGGAGATTAACATAACTTTATTGATTTTTTTTTGCAAACCTGTCTGTGCTCAAGCTACTATAAATTTGGAAGCTCTAATTTCTAAAATATGGATTGAAAAACCTTACTCCAGTGTTGAGAGGACCTGATGACTGACCAGCAGACACGTGCACTGTAAGTAAGACTGCATGGGTCAAAATTACATTTTTAACTATGAGATGTCAACATTATATAAATAAAATTTAACAGTGAAGAAGTGATCAATCTGGAAGCCCTGTGAATTTTTACCAAAAGTTTTGGAGGACATCATATGGATTAAGAAAAACACAACAAAAATCTCATTGTTCAGATAATCATTTGAATGTTCACATACATTTTTGGTTTATTATTTATTTATAGCTAATTTAATTTTCATTTCCTCATATTTAGCTCCTATTTAGCATATAGTCAAAATTATGCCAGTGAGAAAAAATGCTCATAGTACCTTCATTGAGTTGCTGATTCTCAGAAAACACTGAACATGAACATGTACAGAAGAGGACCTTGAATAAAACAGCATATGCATTTTTGAATATCTGCAGTTTGATCTTGACATTTCTGTCTGGAGGAAACAGGAAGGAATCCCAGGCTTATCATGCTAAAATAATGGTTCAGATGACTGCCGTACAAGCAGTACATATAAACCATTGAAAACAAAATCACATCCTTCGGTTCCGTGATCACTGAGAGGATTTCCCTGCCCTAAGTGTTTTATTATATTTCTTAAAAATATAGGAGCAGCAGCTTCTCACAGTCTTCACTCCTGTGCAGCAATGATGGAATCAGAGTAACCCAACAGACTCGTGGACGAGAGGACTGCAGAGCAGCCGGAGTCAGTTTTATGCTTCTTCTTGCTCCGGATAATTGAGAATTTTGCGGTGGGCCTGACGTAAATATTGCTGTTGCTTGAAGTAAACCTTAAACGCTCCTTTTATGGCAACAAAAGCAATTCCACCCTAAATGAAAATGGAAAAAAAAATTTTATTTACATGATAAAAGATGTATGTTTTTATACAAAACTAATTCTCAAATAAATTGATTCTCTTCTCCACTAGGGGTGAGAGAAGGAGAGAGCAGGAGGGAGAAACGACAAACACTGGCCAAAGCAGCCTTCCTTGTGAGGAGTCCTCTTCCTTACACGTAGCTCTACATCTACCCGGGTGTTTTTCTCACACAGTATTCTGTTTATTGTGGAAAATATTTATGTAACAAAACATTTACCAGTGTAAAATCCTTCACTTGTATCTACTCATACATAAAAGGAAGAAATTTGCTAAGATGAAGTGGTAATAGTAATAACAACAAGCAACGTGAGTGTTAGTACTAAGTCCGGTTGACTGTGGCCCAGTACTTCAAATGAATTACTTTATTCAATCCTCACAACAATCCTGAGGTAGGCCCTATTGTCATCTCCATCCCCACGGGCACAGAGAAGTCAAGACATTTGCTGTAGGTATCACAGTGTTTAGGCAATATTTGAGAGGCTCTTAACCTGGCCAACTAATTCTAGAATAGAAGCTCTCTACCATGATTTTGCTGGCAAGAGGAATAAACCGGAATGAATATGCTAATTTATGCATATTCCTGGAGAGAAGTCACCCACTGCAGCATTCCTCCCCTCTGTTCCCATTCAAGCCATGGAATGGCAGTGGCATCAAACAGAAGCTTTCACCCAGTAGTCACAGACCGAATACTGATAGCGCCGCATTGTATTGTTTTTGTTGTTTTAAAAATAAGCACACAGTCTATTCTCTTTTGTATAATCATTTGAAAAAAATACTATTTAAGCCGTCTTACCAAGATTGTCCTTTGTAAATTAGAGTTAACGCTACTGAACATTAGTTTGCCAACTATTGTGGCGATAGTGGGAAAGACAAGGGCTCCGCACAAAATCCGGGTGGCAGAGACGTGATCAGCTAAAGGGTTAGCCTCAGCTGGAATGCGAGGAACGGGACAACCAATCCCTAGAAGAGAAAAAAACAACAAAGCAATATATCAGTATTAATTAATCAAAAAATGAAAAATCATTTTAAAATATTCATTTTAAAGATTTCCAAAATGCAATTTTGACATGTACATTACTATAACCACAATTTAGGACTTTACCTGGAAATATACTGTTCAAAATTTGTAGCTTATTTGAATATTTGCGCCATAGTCTGAGCACATAGTCCTCCCAGCGAATCATCTTGCCTAATATCAGCATGACAGGAATAGTTGGAAGTCCAATTAAAAGGAATAAAGGATCCGCTCTCTCCATAACGTCCAGGCCTTCTTTATGGCCCACAACCTGTGAAACAGACAGCATTTGCTAGAATCACATTGAATGATTTTGCACACTTAAGCTCAATTCATTTTACAGAAAATACAAAACTACAAGAATGAGATATTAAGTTGAAACAAGCTAAAAAGTTATTAATACATTTATTTATAAAAATCATTCAAGCACTATGTGAAATGAATAATAACCTTATTTAACCCCTACAATAATCCTGAGGGTGTGCTTCACTGATACTGAGTCGATTCTGACTCACAGTGACCCAATGTACGGTTTCTGAGACTGTAACTCTTTACATGAGCAGATAGACTCATCTTTCTCCCATGGGGCAGCTGGTGGGTTTGAACTGCTGACCTTGTGGTTGTCTAACACTTATCCATCAGTGCAGGAAGGCTCCATAATCCCCATCCCCATTGGCACAGGGGGAAAAAAGCTCCCAAGTTATTTCATATACAGTGTACAGTGTTAAGTATGAAACAAACAAAGACTTAAAAAAGGCTGAACCTACAATTAATGCATTTTAATACAAGGGCCTTTGGGTTTGTGCTTCCGTTCTCCTTATCTAATTTGATTAGATGGGGCTGCGGGCTAGAATGCCTATAATTCTAGGTCCTATTTATCTTCCAGCAGAGCACCTGATTTACGCTTCTTTCTCAGACAGCCAAGGGACAGGGTTAACTTACTTCTCTTTAGTTCTTCCTTACTTAGTGGTGTATGGGATAAGGCACAATAATCCTGCTGATTGGCTAAGTGTCTGCTCTACAGACCACTCACCCAACATGGAGTTTTAGTTTAGATTTTGGCAGCTATATCAAGAGTTCCAAGGGACTCTGGTTGACACAGTGGTTAAAGCACTCAGTTGCTAACAGATTTGAACCCAGTTACTGCAGGAGAAAGATGTAGCCATGTACTTTCATAAAGATTACAGCCTTGACATGGGAGAGGGGGAGGTGGGGGAAAAGAAGTGGGGAGCCAACAAAGCAAGGGACAAAGGAACAACATGTGATCTAAATTTGATGGCAAGGAGGGCATAGAATGCCTGGTAGGGTTTGATACCAGCCTGTCTGATCAAGAGGTGTTGACAGTTATCAGAAGACCCCAAACAATCATATGGATGTGAACGAGGTGGGGCGAAATGGAGACCCAAAGCCCATCTGTAGACAATTGGACATCCCCTCATAGAAGGGTCACAAGGAAGGGATGAGCCAGCCAGGGTGCAGTATAGCACCGACGAACCATACAACATTCCTCTTAATTCTTTAATGCTTCCTCCTCCCCACTATCATGACCCCAGTTCTACCTTACAAATCCAGCTAGAGCAGAGCATGCACGTTGGTACAGATAAGAGTTCTATACACATAAAATCCAGGACAGATAAATATCTTAGGAACAAAAATGGGAGTAGCAATACCAGAAGAGTAGGGGGAAGGTGGGGGAGAAGGTGATCAATGTATAACCACCCTCGACCCCAGGGTGACGAACAACAGAAACATGGGTGAAGGGAAGGGAGACAGCGGATGGTGTAAGACAGTGGTTCTCAACCTTCCTAATGTCGCAGCCCTTTAATACAGTTCCTTATGTTGTGGTGACCTCCCAACAATAAAATTATTTTTGTTGCAATGGGTGCATAAGCAAATGTGGCGAAGAAAGCTGGTGGTGCCTGGCTATCAAAAGGTATAGCATCTGGAGTCTTAAAGGCTTGAAGGAAAACAAGCGGCCATCTAGCTCAGAAGCAACAAAGCCCACATGGAAGAAA